CCAGTTAATCGTTCCGATATATATTTTACATCAAATCTAGAGCTTTTTATTAAACCTTCTGGACGAGCACAATTATGATTTGTTGATATTTCTGATAGGCTTTATGTCTCTGAATCAAACGCCAGTTTAAAGAGGTCTTGACACTGCTAGTACTTTACGTAGAAGCGTCGAACGCACCATGGCGCTCTCTCCTGATCTTGCATTGGCCACTGATGTACTCAGGTTTAGATCGAGCAAGTCTCAGAAGGCCTCCGGCAAAAAGTGCTAGCAGTCTTAATTAATACGTCCTTAAATCTATTTCTTTTTTGTTGTTGCTCAAAATTTGAATATGTTAACCTGATTATCTTTAGGTGAGCTAGCATACCTTCACTGACAGAAGTCTGCAACATCGGACACATATCAGTGTAGCCTTAATAATTCATTGCATAATTTAAGTTATGAACATTTAGAGACTGGCCATTATTTATCGCCTGGGGAAGGGGGAGGGGAGTCGGAGACTAAAGACAGTAACATTTAGCTGATCTCCCCTTTAAATGTTATTTAATTAAAGTGATCCCCTCTTGATAAATTTCGTGACCTTCCCTCCCCACCATGCCTTGACACACATATTCACCTTTCTACGTGTATATTTAGTGCTTTTAAAGGTCATATAAAAGTAATATTTCTATAATTTTGAAATTGTAGATTGCCAAAGATGCAATTTCATGCATTTGGGGGCCAAGGTGTCACGGAAAATGAATTGTTTATGATCATAAAATTAGACGCAGCAAGTAACGCTGTTTCACCTTTTTAAATACTATTTTCTTCTCGAAACGTCTCAGTCTGTAAGTCTTAATTTATTGTTATATGTGTGCAAATTTTAATAACCGGAACAGGTAGCTACATTTGATTTTACAGCCGGTGGAATTCTGCCGTTCCACTGAGAACCGTGTGACTGATGTCAGTTGACATAGCGGCAATCTAACCATCCCAAGTGCTTGCAAAGCTGCAAAGATACTCAGTTTAGAGTGCCAAATAGCCGTCCACGAAGTCTGTTTGGGCATGTGACATTTAGCGGTCCCCTCTCCGTTATGACTGATCCCCGCTTCTGTTTTCCTAAATATCAAGTAATCCGCCAAAAATCTTGCGTCGCTCCC